ATCTGTGTGAGGAATTGCTGTACTATTTTCCAGAGTGGCCGCACCATATTTCATTCTTATCAGCAGTGTGTGAGGGCTCTGATTTCTCCACATCCTCATCAACACTTACTATTGTCTGTCTTTTTTATAACAGCTATCCTAGTAGATGTGGAGTAGTATCTAATTCTGGTTTCAATTTGTATTTCCATGATAACTTCTGAAGTCAAGCATCTTTTCAAGTGCTTATTGGTCTTTGTATATCTTCTTCGAGAAGCATCTACTCATATTTTCTGCCCATTTTTCAAATTGAGGAAAAATACATGTAATATAAAATTAACCATGTTAAAGTATACAGCTCAGTGGCATTTCACATATTCAAAATGTGCAAACATCACATCTATCTAGTTCCAAAATACTCCTGTTACTCCAAAAGGCACCCCCATTCCCATTAGGTAGACACTGACCACTTCCCTGATCCTAACCCCTGTAAATCACTAATTTACTTTCTGTCTCTATGAATTTATCTATTCTGCAATTTCACATAAATAGATTTACTCACTGTCTGGCCTTCTACATCCACCTTCTTTCATTGAACATGATGCTTCTTGGATTCATCTATATTGTAGCATGTATCAGTGCTCTCTTCCTTTTTATGACTGAGAAACGTAGCACCTTCATTTGTCCATTCATCAAGTAATGGAAATGTGGATTATTTCTACCTTTGGTTATTATGAATAGTATTGCTATGAACATTTACATAAAGTATTTGTTTGAATGCCTGTTTTCAATTCTTTTGGATGTATATATAGAAATGGAATTGTCAAGTATTATGCTAATTCTATGTCTAACTTTCTGAGGAACATTAGAATTTTTTCCAAAGCATTTAGCCCACTTTTAAAGTGGGTTACTGGGCCAAGGAAATAGCTCAGTGGCACAGCACCTACCTGGCAAGCACAAGATCCTGATTCAATTACTGGTACCAAAAAATAAAATAAAGTGGGTTATTTCTTTTTATTACTAAGTTGCAGTAGTTCTTTCTATATTCTGGATACCAGTGTCCCTTATCAGTATATGATTTGCAAATATTGTCTTCCCCTCTAGGAGTTGTCTTTTCACCTTCTCAATAGTCTCAATAGCATCTCCATAGTATCCTGCATAAAATTATTTTTCTCTCCCTCCTCTTATCCACCTTCCCCTCCCTCATTTCCCCTCCCCCTGCCCTTCCCCACCTTCCTCCTCTTCCTCCTCCTCCTTTTGTAGCAGGGGATTAAACCCTAAGCTAGTCCTCAACCCTTTTGTAAATTAAATGTTTTAATTTTGATGATGTCTAATTTACTTTTTCTGGCTTGCTTGCGTTTTTGGTATCATATCTAAGAAACCACTGTCTAATCTAAGGTCACAACAATTTACTCCTATGTTGTCCTCTAAGAGTTTTATAGTTTTATATCTTTTATCTATTTTAGTTAATTGTATATGAGATAAAAAAAGAGGCAGGAGGGTCCAACTTTCTTCTTTTACACGTGGGAATATACTACTACCAGCATCATTTGTTGAAAGACCATTCATTCTCCCATTGATGGCCTTAGGAAAATGAACTGATTGTAAATCTGAGTATTTATTTCTGGATTCTCAGTTCCTTTCCATTCATTCATATTGTGTATGTTTATGCCAGTATCACACTGTCTAGATTACTGGAGCATTGTTGTAAGTTTTTAAATCAACGAATGTGAGCCTTCACCACCTTCTTTTCTGAAAGATCATTTGGCTATTCTGCGTCCCTTGCATTGTCATATAAATCTTAGAATCAGTTTGTCACTTGTCATTTTCCACAAAGAAGTCAGCCAAGATTTTGATAGCATTAAATCTGTATGTCAATTTAAGAAGTATTTCCATCTTAGCAATTTCTGATCCATGAACAAGGGATCTCTCTCCATCTATTTTGATGTTTGACTTCTTTCAACAATGTTTTGTATTGTTAGAGCATACATTTTGTATTTCATTTGTTAAAATTTTAAGTGGCATTTTTACCATTTTAATTGCATTTCTCATTGTTCTTTATTTGCCTGTATATAGAAATTCAATTGAGTTTTAAATACTGACCTGTTCTCAAGCCTTGCTAAGTTTACATGTTTGTTCTAGTTTCTTTGCAGATCTATGGGATTTTCT